GCATCCATTTCTCCTCCCGTTTAAAGAACCAGTACAATTCTGGAAAGAACAAGATTCTACAAAAAGAATTCAAGCCGTCTGCTTTCAAAAATACTGTCACTTTTGCAGTCACATGGTTGCCAGGCTAGGAAAGAGGACATGGGACCATCTCCTGGTTTCAACATCTTCCACTTTTGAAAGGCCTTCTTTTTGGGCTCAGTTAGACTCTGTTCACCAACAAATAGTTTTCCAAAGGCAATTATGAATAAGTTTCATCTGCTGGACTGGCCCAAATGCATTTCACATTCTAATACTCTTAAATTTTCTAGACCTACCATTAAGCAACATTAATTAAGACTTTGTGGTATTGACATAAAGATAGACAGAGACCAGAAATAGACCCACACATATCTGGCCAATTGATTTTCAAAACAGGTGTCCAGGTAATTCAATGGGTAAAGAATAATCTTTTCCATAAATGAAGCTTGAACAAATGAACATTTAAATGGAAAAAAATCTCAACCTTTATCTTACACCATTCACAAAATTTGACTCAGGCTGGATCATAGACCTAAATATAAAGCCTAAAAGTATAAAACTTTTAGAATAAAAAAATAGGAAAAAAATCTTTGTGACCTTGGGTTAGCCAGATTTCTTAAAGGGGACATCATCAAAGAAAAAAATGATACGCTGGAATCAAGGAAAAATGAAAAGATACAAGATATATATCTGATAAAGGACTCGTATCCAACATATGTAAAGAACTTTCACAACTCGATAATAAGAAGACTAAAAATAATAAGCAAAGATTTGAAGAGACACTTCACCAAATAAGAAATATGAATGGTAAGTAAGCACTTGAAAAGCTATGTGCTCAAAAAATATTACTCATTGGGAAAATGCAAATTAAAAAACACCTATGAGAATGACTAAAATTTAAAACCCAACAATGCCAGGTGTTGATGAGGCTGCAGGATTACTGGAACTCTCATACATTGTGCACGGAAATACAAAAAGGACATTCAGTTTGGAAAATAGTTTGGTAATTGCTTATAAAGTTAAACATACCCTTCTCACATGACCCAGCAATTCCACTCCTGGGGATTTACCCAAGAGAAAAAAATACTCTGCGTAAAGTCCTATACATGAGTGTTTATAACAGCTTTATTTATAATGGCCCCAAACTGGAAACAATCCAAATGTTCTTCAACTGGTAAATGGATAAACAAACAGGTACATCCATAGAATGCAACACTCCTCAACAATAAAGAATGAACTACTGACACTTGCAACAACTTGGATGAGTCTCAAAAGCACTATTCTATGTAAAAGAAGCCAGATACAAAGGTTACTGTAGGAGTCTATATTTACATGAATTCCCATTTATATGAATTTCTGGTAAAAGCAAAAACACAGGAACAGAATTCAGATCAGTGGTTGCCATGTGCTAGGAGTAGGGACAGGGACTTCAAACGGATATGAGGGAACTTTTGGGGGGTGATGCAGCTGTTCTATATCTTGATTATTGTGATGGTGTTTATTCAACTGCATACATTTGTCAAGTCATCAAATTGTACACTTAAAATTAGGGAATTTTTAGGGCTTCCCTGGTGGCGCAGTGGTTGGGAATCCGCCTGCCGATGCAGGGGACGTGGGTTCGTGCCCCGGTCCGGGAGGATCCCGCATGCCGCGGAGCGGCTGGGCCCGCGGGCCGTGGCCGCTGGGCCTGCGCATCCGGAGCCTGTGCTCCGCAGCAGGAGAGGCCACGACAGTGAGAGGCCCGCATAACGCAAAAAAAAAAAAAAAAAAAAAATTGGGGAATTTTACTCTATGTAAGTTACACTTAACTGACCCCCCCTTCCCCAAAAGTCCTTCCAATGGCTTCCATTTCCTCAGAGTAAATGACTGTAAGCCAATAGACCCTCCATGCTCTGATCCTCCCCTCCCCTTTGGACCTCATCCCCTTCCACTCTCCCTCTTGCTCCTCTGCTCCAGCTAGAACAGCCTCCTGGCCACGAGCCTTCTATGAACATGCCAGGCACATGCCCTCTCTAAGGTACTGCACTAATTCCTTCCACCTCCTCTAAGTCTGTGGTTAAATGTCACTATCTCAGAGAGACTTAATCTCTCAATGAATGTTATCTGAATGGGCCTCAGTTTTCTCATATATAAATGGGTGAAGCTGAATCAAAAAATCTGAGAGCCTTCTGACCTAACATTATACAGTTCTGACATTCAGCTTTTAGGATGCAAAACTCCCCAGGGATGATAACAGAGTTAAATAATAACTCTGGCCGCTGAGCCTGCGCGTCCGGAGCCTGTGCTCCGCAACGGGAGAGGCCACAACAGTGAGAGGCCCGCGTACCGCAAAAACAAAGATAATAATGAATAAAAATATAAAATAAAATAAAATAAAAAATAACAGTTACATAAGAAGGCATTAAATGGCAGCTAAGTGGAACAGAGTTCTGGAGTGTTCTGAGGGGGAGAGGTCACGTCCAGCTGTCAGAATTGAGAGGTTCAATACAGGAAATGACCCCTAAAGATTGGGTAGGATTTCTTTACATGACAGCAATTACCTGGACAATTGGAAATACTGTTCTAGCCTCTCTTTAAAGTAAAATTCTGGGTTCTACTTAGTTTGTACAATTTGAACATACTCCCCTCCTTTGAGGACATTCTAGAAAACTGCCGTACCACCAATGATTCAGAATTTCTCCTGCATACCCATGGTACACTTTCTTCCTCGCAAGCCTGCGGGGGTTATTGGCAATTAATTGGCTAAGGTACACATTCCATCAATGCCATGCCAGACATCAGGAAAATTGACAAGGTCTTTCCCTCGTTGCTGTAATATGTCTGCTGACATATCTTTTGTACTATACTCTGATCTCCTAGGGGGCAGGGTGTGAGTCTCCCTCAGCACTGGATCCACCAGGATGGAGCATGGTAGGCTCAAAGAATGCATGTTCCTCAGAATTCTGAGCATTCTGCTGGTATTAATGTGCACACCAGGGAAGAACAATTAGCAAGGTCATTAATCATGACTCTTCCTATTTAATTGTAAAAACTAATTGCCTGTTAAGGTAAGGCAAGCCTTATTTCCTTAATCAGAGTGGTTACAACCTGAACATGTTGGGAAAATCTGAGATGCTGATGTGAAAGACAAACTGGATGAAGTTCAAACACAAAGCCGAAATCTCAAGGTCTTCTCATTTATTCTTGTTTACCCATGGTCTTTAATCAAGGTAGGATTTTTACCTAGACAATCTTCACAAGGGAAAGAGAGATTGGGAGTAACATATACACAGAGACAGAATGTTAGGCGGTGGTTTGGATTGCTCTCTTTCTAAACAGACTTTTACTCTTGTTATGGACTGAATGTGTGTCTCTCTCTCTCTCTCTCTCTCTCTCACACACACACACACACACACACACACACACACACACACACACACACTCATATGTTGAAGCCCTAACCTCCAATGTATCTGAATTTGGAGATGGAGCCAGTGTTTAAGGTTAAATGAGGCCATAAGAGTGGGGACCTGATCTGATAGGATTTGTGGCCTTATAAGAAGAGACACCAGAGAGCCTGCTCTTTCCCTCTCTCCATGCACATGCCCTGAAGAAAGGCCAAGTGAGCACACGGTGAGAAGACGGCTATCTACAGGCCAGGAAGAGAGGTCTCACCAGAAACTGAATTGGCTGGCACCGTGATCATGGACTTCTAGTGTCCAGAACCGTGAAAAATTAAATGGCTGTCGTTTAAGCTACCTGGCCTGTGGCATCTCTCATAGCAGCACAAGCAGCCTAAGGCAGTTCTCTCAGCACTACAGTGCACCTGGTTACAAATAAGCCTAATCCTACACCCTCTGCTCTACGGATTTAGAACTCCTCTGTCCCAAGGTTTTCCAGAATTCTCTCAGTTCCAAACTAACCTGCTCTCTCCTAACATTTTGCCTGCTACATTTCAACTAACACATGAAATTGAGAACTTCTCTTTTTGCTCTGTATTATCCAGTGGTCAATGACTTTCATTTTCCATAGCCAACATTAATTTAGATTTGAAAATTACATTTTCTAGTAAGTTTTGTATGATGGAAAATTTTCAAATAACCTAGTGAAGAGTGTAGGTATTACCTTTGTACATGTGTTTCTAAGGAGAGCTGGATCCAGCAAAAAGCATTCAAAAATCTACATTTCCGGGACTTCTCTGGTGGCGCAGTGGTTAAGAATCTGCCTGCCAATGCAGGGGACACGGGTTCAAGCTCTGGTCCGGGAAGATCCCACATGCCACGGAGCAACTAAGCCCATGCGCCACAACTACTGAGCCTGCACTCCACAGCTTGCGAGCTACAACTACTGAGCCCACATGCCACAACTACTGAAGCCCACGTGCCTAGAGCCCGTGCTCTGCAACAAAGAGAAGCCAACACAATGAGAAGCCCGCGCACTGCATCGAAGAGTAGCCCCCGCTCACTGCAACTAGAGAAAGCCTGTGTGCAGCAACGAAAACCCAACGCAGCCAAAAATAAATAAATATTTTTTTAAAAATCTACACTTCCATACATTACTTAATATCCTCAGTCTTTGGAGATATTTACGGGCATTTTTACAGAAGAGTTTTTGGCATTGTATAGAATGAATCCAAATTCCTCAGTTCACCGTACTGAGCATCACATGACTAACTCTCATCTCTGCACCTCATTCAAAATAGCTCAGAAAGTTATGAGGCTAATGTCACTCATCTCCTCAACCCTAGGATGCCCAAGGCATTTTTGTTCTAGATGTTGGCCATGTATCACAACACAAGTTCCATTTTGAACGCCATTGCTCTGAGTTAGGAGCTGTGAATGCTCTCTTTAGTCTATCATGAAGGCTGGTTTTTCAGTTATTATGACAATGTGCTTTTGCACTGTGTTCCTCTTTTACTTTGAAAGCCAAAGCAATATAGTATGGTGGAAAGATAGGAGTTTTAGAGCTAGATAGAGTTGGATTTTCAACTTTTTGGCTTACCTGTCTTTCTAGGGTCAGCTTTCTTGCAAAATGGAGATACTGATGCCTAGGTTTGCTGTGCTGTTGGCAACGGCGACACTAAGACATGTCTCTGAACATTCTGGGGTACTGCATCCGTCAGAGTTTGTCAGAAAGGCAGAAACACTATAAGAGATAGAGAATAAAGCATTAGTAACACAACTGCAGGAGCAAGTGGAAAAGTCAATGCAAGATGTGGCTGCTATGTCTGGGGGAGGGTATGAACTGGGTTGGCAACTGAGGAAAAAGACTTGACAGTGAAGTGGAGGAGAACAGGACAAACAAGAACCAGGAAGATGTACTGGAACCTGCATCTATCTCTCTAGGCCTCCATCCTCAATGACGTGGGTGACTTGCAGGAAAAACCTATTAGGTTTTGCCACAGAGCTGTACACATACCTGGTCTAAGACTTGGAAAAGCTGAGACAGGAAATCTAATGGAAACTATAGGAACTGTGGGCCCAGGTACAACCCACATCCTCAATGTGAGCTGACAGATCAGTGCCAACCCATCAAGTTACTGCCGTGCTTGACACCCTGAACCAACCTTCAAAGGCTAAAAGTTGATACTACTTCACTTGTGTCTTTCAAATCTCATGTAGATTTCTTCTGTGGCTAATCCTAACCTGGAACCCTCTAGGGAAAGTAATCCTGGGAGAATTAGTTCAGGTTTAGCTAAGTTTATACAGTATAAAGCCACTATAGTACGGATTTCCACAATTTTTTAAAGAAGTGGAAATGGATTTATTACACGAAGCACTATGGTTAGATCTGTGTATTGCGGGAGGAGAGAAAGAGACAATAAGGAACATAAATATCCTTGGCTCTGCAAGTTTGTAAATAGTATATCCCTTATTCCAAGCAGAGTCTTGGTCACCTTTCTGATGCTCCCAAGATATTGCTAGAAGATTAAACAAAAAAAAACTTGAACTTGCAGGAACCAATTGATATTCCTTCTGGACAAACGAGCTAAGTAAAGAATCTTTCAGAAAAGTTCCTAAACCAAACCTACTCCTATGTGGATATAGCATGAATTATACTATACAAACTCAGTTTCATACGATGAAAACTGTGGACTATATAGCAAATTGTCAACAGTGCATTATACTTATTCAATAAATGTTAGGTGAACGAATGGAATAAGGACAAAGGATTAATCCTTCCTTCTAGTGATTAACACATAACCATGTTCAAACTCTGAATTTGTTAATGAATACAAATCATATTTACTTGGGTTTTTCTGATGGAAAAATGCTCAGTGTAAAATATGCAATGCTCAGTTGTTCCATCACGTGATAATCAGTTATAGAAGATATTGCTGGAAACCACACAGCCTTACTCATGTAGAAAGATGGGCATAAAGACAAGATAATTTACATGTATTTATAAATCTACCAGCATGCAATCTCCACTGGCCTCTCAATATGCTTTATAATGTCACTTTCAAAACTTATAAACACATTTATACTTATTTAATTTTTTTGAAGGAGTAATGCATTCAAAAATTGGTTAAAATAAAAACATGAAGAAATGCCATGCCATGCCCTAGCAGCTTCTCCTTGCTGCCCCCAAATATATAACCACTGTCATTAGTGTTTTGCATATCCCTCCAGACACTCCTACGCATATACAAGTAAATACAAACACGCTCGCCTCACCCCCAACTTGCTTTGCTACACGAATGGGAGAAGAATCTGTACACTGTTATTTTCCAGCTTCCTTTTCTGTTTGTTTGGGGTTTTTTGCTTAATACATCTTAGAGTTCTTTCCGTTATCAGCACATAAAGAATTTCCCCATCCTTTCATTCAGCTGCTGACTACTCCGTTGTATGTACGTACAGTAATTTACACTTTCAAATTTTATCTTCTACTTTCCATTGTCTCGGAGCTTGATTTTGGCTTCTCCCTCCACACCTCCTGGAAGTAACTGCCATTCAGCGACTGGCGATTCTTCAAAGAGAAGCAACACAAATGACGCCAACTTCGGGATTTGCGCAGTTCTGGTATCTTCTCCATTGCACAGAGCCAACAGACACATGTGCTCCCGTCAGCAAGCTGCCTCCTTTCCCCTCAGCCGAGCTCTGGATGTCGGGGAACATGACGAGCCATACTTCACCCACAGAATGTGAGCTTTAAGCCTGTATGACATGGTGCCCAGCTGTGAACAGGCCAGCCAGCTCCCCGATTCGCTCCATTCTCCCAGGCGCCTGGAGCTGGGCCCACCCCGAGGAGCTCCTCCTCCAAGGTAAAGCTCCCTCTGTGGTCATAATGCAGTCCTGAATCCATATGCTTGGTTTAGTTCTTCCTAATTACATCCATGGATGTTGAAAAACACTCAGACCAAGAAAGAGACCAAAGGGACTGTGGGCACTTGGAGCTGCCGAACAGGCAGGTTTTTATACCCTGGCCACTGGGGAGACGCATAAAGGCCAGATGGTATGTCGCAACATATATTCCCTACGAGGCATGTGGAAAGCCTGGGGCAGAAAATGCCACCTGGGAAGCCGTGAGAAACACAAAGGGATCAAAGCATGAGTCCTGGAGTTACTCCAGGGGAGTGGGTGGCCCCAGGTGGCTGCCTCCTGGTCACCTCTATAGCCTTCCTGGGGGCAATGGCCTTTCCTCTAGAGCCAATACTCTTGCTGTCTGGATACACCCTCTTCGGGAAAGCAAGCATGCACTTACCCTCTGCGGTGGACAAATTGTTTCTAAGGAATCTGTGGGTCAAAAAAGACTGACACTTTCCTTTCAGCTTTTACATAAGTCAACAAAAGTAGCATTTGGGTGATTAAGAATTCATCTCAGGGGCTTCCCTGGTGGCGGAGTGGTTAAGAATCCGCCTGCCAATGCAGGGGACACAGGTTCGAGCCCTGCTCCGGGAAGATCCCACATGCCGCGGAGCAACTAAGCCCGTGCACCACAATTACTGAGCCTGTGCTCTAGAGCCCGTGAGCCACAACTACTGAAGCCCATGCGCTTAGGGCCTGTGCTCTGCAATGAGAAGCCGCCGCAATGAGAAGCCCATGCACTGCAACAAAGAGTAGCCCCCGCTCGCCGCAACTAGAGAAAAGCCCTCGCGCAGCAATGGAGACCCAACGCAGCCAAAAATAAATAAATAAATAAAAAATTTTTAAAAAAATTTAAAAAAAAAGAAGATACCGAGGCCCCTCTTTAAAAACAAAAAAGAATTCATCTCAGGGCTTTTGAATGGGTCATCTAGACAGCAATTTGGTTTCTAAACTGAAATGAATACATGTGTGTATGTATTTTGCAGCTTCACATGCCCATGTGATTATACTGTTATGGTAACTTACTTTTTTATATTCTACCAGCTTTGGAAGACTCTTACATTCATTTTGCAAACTTGGCAATAAAATCCTCTTGCTTGGAGGTCCGAGATGCACTTACCTTACTCATACTAATTATAATAATAGCTAACACTTATTGATTACTTTGCTGAGTACTTTCCACATATCATCTCATTTAATCACCATCAACAACCCTGCGATGTAGGTCCTATTATTATCCAAGTTTTACAGATGAGGAAACTGAGAGTTAGATAAACTAAGTGACTTGTCCAAGGTCACACAGCACACCCAAAGGAGAACTGGGCTGTCTGATTCCAGGGCCACCATGGTCATCACAAAAAATCACTCCGGAGCCTTGTTTCTGTCATAGACTGTTTACCCAGTTGTGGGGCTTCCTAAATTTGCTGGGAGGGTCAGGGGGAGAAAAATCTCCCTTTGGGTTTAGCTATCGAGAATTATAAAACTCTATGCCTTTAAATTACATTCTACCCATTCATATCAGCCATCCTCTCTTTCTTCTACCTTTTTGGACTAAAACGGAAAACAGGAGTTAAGCGTTTCAGAATAACTCCCCTTTCAAAAGTATATTTGTACATAGTTAGGGGTCTTCAGGCTCTCTATGAAGCTCTCCCAGCTCCACTGGGAAAAGTCCTGGTTTCTTGCTCTGAATTTGGCTATCTACCTAGACAAGCACATTCCACTGCATTACAGTGGTGTGTCTGCAACTCTCGTTTCCCTGTGAGCTACTGGAGAGCAGGATCACTGTTAACAGTCATCCTTGTATCCCTGACATCTGGCACATAGCTGTGGCTCAGTAAAAACCTGAAAGGTATTGATCCTACCAGCCTCGGGGTAGTGATGAGATAAATCTGCTAGCCTCTCCCCCTGCCACTGCACATGCAAATGAAGCGCCCGAAGAGGCCAAGAGAGCCCCGCCAAATTCTACTAAATCCCTCTTCTTAGGGTTTGTTTGTTCTGGTTGGAATGCAGGATTCCTTCGTGGGGCTTAGAACAGCTGGGTCCATACCAGTGCTCCTTAATGGGCTCAGAATTAGGGAATTTGGTGCCCCAAATAACTCCAATGGTAGAATATAAAATTTGAGACAATTATGGTCTTCACTTTCCCTACCTTTCCTCTATCATCGGTATAAAGTGGGTCAAGAAAGAGTGGGAGGGCTTCCCTGGTGGTGCAGTGGTTGAGAGTCCGCCTGCCGATGCAGGGGACACGGGTTCATGCCCCTGTCCCGGAAGATCCCACATGCCGCGGAGCGGCTGGGCCCATGAGCCATGGCCGCTGGGCCTGCGCATCCGGAGCCTGTGCTCCGCAGCGGGAGAGGACACGACAGTGAGAGGCCCGCGTACCGCAAAAAAAAAAAAAAAAAAAAAGAGTGAGAATTCCACTTCTAAATGTAATGATATGATAGTAAGAGCTAGGCTTTGCTGATAAAAATGCCCTATAATCCTGATTTTTTTCATCAAAATAAAGATTGGTTGTATCCCACAGGTCAGGTGCTTTTGTACAAACTTTAGGTTTAAATTAGGGCCTGGTGAAAAATTTACAGGGACCTTTGGAGAAATTCTGCAGTCAGAATTTCAGGAATATCCAATTGTTTTCCAGAGTGAGCAACTCTTCTTTGGGATCATTTCCAAAGTGTCACTCTCAATCATCTTGTTGTCAGAAATGGGAATGATTTAAACACTGCTTACATATGTCATGTCAAAAGGGAAGTCTTGCAGGAGCTTATCTATTCAAAGAATTTCTAAGAGAGGACAATCTTAGGGTGGACAGAATCATCTTAAGCTATCATCCCCTTCCCA